ATTGACAGGATCTCTTTTTCTGAACATAACAAACCAAGTTCTTTGGTTCAGGTGGGTTTAAAAAACATCACAATGTGTTCAGTGATGATGTGCACTGAAGTGGCTCAGTGTGATGATGGGTTCCTAAAACAGATGTGAAGATCTGAAAAGCAGAAATGAGGTGCAGAAGTTGTTGCTCGGCTCAGTTTCATATTCATGGTGTGGTGACGTTATTCAGTCCACACAAACAGTGTTACTCACACTTTGGATCTTACTTCTGTTGTTTCTGTAACCTGCTATGTTTACACCTGCATATGTGTAGCGTTTGCATGGATACGGTTTGTCAGCTGCCATTTTCTTCTTCTTCTTCTTTTCTTTTTTCTTCTTCTCTTCTTTCTCAGAGAGGCCCACAGCCATTCATGCAGTTATCATTATATACATGTCTTTGGACTGGGGGAGAAAGACTGAGTATCTTGAGGGAACCCACACACACACAGGACCAGGAAGAAGAAGATGGGAAACTCCACAGCGGAAGAACTCAACTGACCATCAGCTTCAAACAAGAAACTGTTGTGTCACTCTCATGGTTTTTTCAGTACTTATCAATTATTTGGGAGAATGAGGAGAACACAATAACACAATAAATAGTAGATATAAAATCTTTGACTATAAAAAGATTCACAGAAACGCAACTATAAACTAGAAGGTCAGTGTTTGCACAGCACAACCTGCAGCTGAATCCAGTACCACCAATATAACTTTAATTTTACTGTGAACACCCAGCATATATTTTGAAGGTTGCTGCTCAGTAAATGTTAAAAACAAGCCTCTACTGGTTGAATGAGTCATGGTATCAACAAATGCAGACATTTCAGTATTCAGTATAAAACTGGAAAGAAAAAGTGTTTATGAAGTGTAGTGGGAATAAAGAATGACTCCTAATAACACATCTGTGTCATTGTGACCCTGTTTTCTGTAAGTGTGATCACGGAACTGAAAGAGGCAACTTTTAACCCACCGTTAAACACTCGACTGAAACTATGAAGGAGAAAATAAGTGACTTTTAATGAACTGACTCCATATCAGTATACGTTTATTCATATTTAAATGTTAAATGTAGACTAGAATAGAATAGAATAGAATAGACTTTTATTGTCATTGTACATGTGCAACAAAATTATGGGTGATCCAAGCCAACTGCGCAGGAATAAATAACAAAGAGGAGAAATACATACGATAAAGATGTATTTCTGTATGTAAGTAAATGTATGGTTAGTGTAGACCCGGAAACTGTGTAAGGAAAGGAATAGCATTCAACACAATCAGAACAGAGTGCTGCACATGCAATAACTAACTGTAACAACTGTGGAGGAAGCCACATGGCAAAAAGAGATAAATGCCCAGCATATGGCAGTAATGTCATAAATGCAAAAAATGGCATCACTTCCAGAAATGCTGCAAGTCATCACAAACAAGGGGATTTAAAAAGAGATCTGTAAACAGTGTTAAGATGCAAGCACCCAGCAGTGATGAGGAAATGTTCTTTGCGAATGGGGTCAATGAAGACTCTGTGAATCCCTGTTTTCTGTATAGGAATGACATATTCACCGCTGTGCATATTAATAGAAAACCAATAGAGTGGTGCTAAATGTAATGACATTCCAGCCGTTCTTTTTGTACAACTGAAACAAGATGGAAAACTCCTGCCATCACAGAAAACCAAACTGGAGGCATATGGAGGTAAGAAAATCAAACAGCTAGCACAGCTGGCACAGCTAAACGCTCGTGTCACTCTGGAGGCAAGGAATACCCTCTGCAATTCTTTGTAGTGGATCAAGCTGTACAACATCTACTCTAAAATTCAGATAACATTAGACTGCATCGATCAAAGAGATTTTAATAAAGCTCTGAAACGCCTGCATCACCCTATGCGTACCATAGAGGCAGTGGGCGCACAAATGCCTAACTTCACAGTCTTTTCTGTCCTGGATGTGAAATGCTCCTCTTGGCAGATAACGCTTGACTTCAAGTCATCCATGCTCACAACTTTCAACTCTCCATTTGGCAGATTCTGCTTTCTCAGAATGCCGTATGGAATCAACTCAGCCAGTGAGGTGTTCCAGAGTGCAGTAGAGCAGATCTTTGCTGGATACCCCTGTGCTGTCATCGTTGACAACATAATCACTGGTGGAAGAGATATGAAAGAGCATTAACAGAATCTCAGAATGGTACTCAACCGTGCGAGGGAAGTCAAACTGGGACTTAAACCCCTAAAGTGCAAATCCTACTCAAAGAACTCTGTTATGTTGGACATGTTTTCACAGGCAAAGGCTTAAAGCCTGATCCAGCGAAGACCAAAGCAATTAATGAGATGCCCACACATTAGAAAACGTCACAGCTCCAAATCTAAACTGATCATCAGCCATAAGTCACAACCCTAAACAAGCCCATACAGTCAGCTCCAGCCAGACTGCAGCGTATGATGCTGAGACTGCAAAGGTACAACTTCCAGATGGTGTACAAAAAAGGCTTGTAGATGGCTGAACAGTCCCGTCAGCTGGCTGGCAGTTCTTACATTAGATGATCTGGGAGAGTTTGCAAGCCAAAACTTCACATATGAACACTAGGGCGTAGAAGATGGACTGTTTAAAAATGCTATTGCTATTCATGGAAACTACATGTAACTTGATGATGACAAAGTGAAATGCTGATTATGTTCTTACCAGTGAAAGAGTTTCAGGTTTGAAGTGAATGATTATTTTCAAGCTATAATGCTATAAACTAGAATCTATTGTTAATGCATTATGCTGAAGATGTTGTTAGTCATTTATACAGTCCTAGCTAAAGAAAGAACATCTCACCAGTGTTATTGTAAAACGGGGGTTTCCCATACCTGTTCGAAGCGAATAGTGCACTGCGCATGCGCCAGTAAAAATGTCCTGAGTCATGCTGTTTGCATGCAATGTCTCCTCAGTTACAGTAAATGCTTACAAAGAATCATGAATCCAGCGTCTTTACTAAACATCAAACAGTTAGAATAACAATACTAAGAATCGGTCAAATATAATGATGCGGTGAATTCACTGGCTTTATAAAAGCCCAGAACATTCTTTAGTGAAATTACTTAATACATAATTTAAAAAATGTATTGTATTGTGAAAGCATCAGACTTCCGGTTCCATCCGAAAGTAAAGGTGGATTCATTGTGGGAAGGGCGATAAACTAGTGCAAGGTGAGGGAGGTCTGTTCATGTTTTCTTCCTCTCGGTCACTTTAATCTGGTTCTTCGGTCTGTCAGATTAAACTGGAGTCGTCCAGGAGGATGAGGATAACCGTGCTGCTTGTCTCCCTTCTGCTCGGTAACATCACCTTTATTCCTCTTTCTGTTTCTGTCAGTTTGATCAGTCAACAGCTGAAATACTCACTTGGCGCACACACGCACCGAGTGTGGCGATTCTTCACGTCCAGTTCAAGTTATTTCACCACAGTAACAATTTAAGATTACTCAGATATAACTTGTTAAAATGCCAGTATGAAGTTAAGAACATGAAGTCGTCTGTGTGAGCATCTGTATCAGTTCTTAATCGCTGCTTTCGGCTCTCTCCCGTGTGCGTGTTTTCTTACGTTTTTCATTCTTTCCTCAAAACCTCTCTGTCTCTCCGTCATCCCTCTCCCTCACTTACAGTTGGGTAAATATTTAAATTCAGAAAATTCAAATTTTCACAGAGATATCAACACAGATATAACAGATAGCTCAGGTGGAAGCAGGACTCCTCTGCGTTCAAATATGGGTTGTTTACTGGCGCAGAGTGCAGAAGAACAAAACATGATCTGCATCGCACGCATCCGCATTACACAGTAACTGTGTCATTTGGGTAAATACGCACATGCCAATGTACTGGTATTGTGCAGTGTCATACTGAGTATTTATTAAAGTCGGTAGCCTATTAAAATCCTGCCAGTCCACTGCTTGACTGCGTGCATGCATTTTGTACTGGGCTTCCCCTGCCGTTGTGAAACTGGCGACCCCAGGTCATCAATAAGCATCAATGCTGTTGAAACCTGGCCTACTGAATTGTACTTTGCTTCTCTTACTTGACAGATGATGATGATGTGCATGCAGTGACACATTTATTAGGCTACTTGAAAATATATTTCATTAAATTACAATGCATGTGGAACATTATGATATTAGACAGAAGACTTGGTCCTGAACAGACTGTGTTCTCTATATGTCAGTATAAAGCATAGCATTAGTTTATTAATGTTTATTAAATTAATTGTATTTATATTAATAATCAATAACTAACATTTCTGTTCATCTAAAGGTCACAAAAGAAAATGCATGAACATCAGAGAATCGCTGTATATTGACTAATAGTAATTACTGTCATGTCACGCTGCGGCTCTGAGGCAGGAAATTTCCTTATTTTACTCGATTTACACACCTGTGCTCCCCCTGCATGTTTTTACATGTGCTGACAGAGTTTTCACACAGTGTGTATACCTCTGAGGATTTATACTATAGTTATATTGAATAAGTGACATTGTCATGGTCCTCCATCTTTGAGTTATGGACCTAAGAGTTCTGTTTGTTGTTGACTAATTCCTGCTTGATTCATAGTTAGTATATTGTTATGTTTTTTCAGTTTTGTTTTTAGTAGATATTTTCTAGCTTATTTCTATAGGTTCTGTCTTAGTTTTGTAATCTAGTTTTGCAATTCTGGTTCAGTTCAGCTGTATCTACTTTTCCACTTGTTTTTTAAACATTAAAATAATTCATTTAAATTCTGTCCTATTTATATAGCACTAGTTCAGAACAACAGTCACGTCAAGGAGCTTAATATTGTAAAGAACCTACAGTATTAGAATCAAAACCTCAACAGTCAGATGATCCCCTATGACCAGCACTTGGTGACTGTGTGAAGGAAGAAAAACAACAACAAAAAAGGGAGAGAAAAGACAAGGGTAATGACATCCTGTAGTGGTGTATAAATGCACAGGGAATTAAAATAATGGGAAAGGAGAAAAAATGCATCATGGGAAGCCTCCAGCAGCCTGACCTCATAACTAAGGAATGAGTCAGTGTCACCTGATCCACTCCTAACTATGACAAAACTCAGATCTGCTTTCAGAAACTGATCTCCAGTCTGTTTTTTAGCCTCAGGAACTCAGGACAGAAGTTCACCCACTACCGTTTTCGTTTTGTAGTTTCTTAAATTTCAGAATAGAAACAGGAAAGCTGGACTTTCTTTTCATGTGTATGCACAATTGAGCTACAGATAACTCTACACCGGCTCACATTGTTTGTTTAGTATGGAACTCAGATTGATTTAACCTTTTTCTGCGTCCTCAGTTTCCCAGTATGTCTCAGGAGTCGAGGTGTATGAGGGGGAGGAGTCTGTCGTTCTGCTCTGCCAGCTTCCCGTTCCAGCTGAAGAGGGTGTAGTTGTGTGGGGACGCGATGACCTGAATCCTTCAATCATCCATGTTCGCACAGAGGAAGGTGATGATCCTACAGAGCAAAATAAACAATACGTCGACAGAACATCCATTCAAAAGGACGCCCTGAAGACCGGAGACCTCAGCCTCACTCTGAGAAAACCTACATTCTCTGACAGCGGAATCTACACCTGCACCGTACGCAAGCATGGACAAAAACAGAACCAAACTGAAGTGCAACTAAAGGTCAAAGGTCAGTGCTGTAGATTCCCCTTAGAGAGTGACCAGAGAGAAAAGTGACCATCCAACATTACAAAGATGAAAGGCTTTCAGGAACGGTCAACATAACCAGAGAAGATCAAAGGCTACGTTCACAATGCAGGTCTTAATGCTCAATTCCAATTTTTTGATCAAATCCGATTTTTTTGTCTGGTTGTTCACACTACAAATAAAATGCGACAGCAAACACGCTCTAGTGTGAACCATTCACGGCCCTCAAAGCGCAAAAGAAGACGTCACACACAACGTGCTCTGTTTAGACCCAGACCAAACAGTATTGTTTGACTGATGGCACTTCATATAAAGACTTGTTTCGGACTTTACGTTTCCCAATTTTGCTTTAAGTAATAAAGTTATTTTGTTATTTACATATGGCCTAATAATTATCCTTATTGCTGTTTTAGAGAGGAGCGGTGCTTCAAAGGATAGTTGCAGATTTCTGTCAGAATCTGCAGATTATACAGTACAAATAAAATGTTCACTTTTCTCCAACGTTGTCTTCCCAACAGTTTCACTAACAGCTACACTGGATGGCCAGGAAGCGTTCATGATGTCTTGCCAGGCGCAGATAATTGGCGTCTGTCTTGTGTCAGTGATGTAAAAGGCGGATTTAATGCGACATGACCATTCAAACAGCAGTCACTTTCTAAAACATCAGATATGTATCGGATTCAGTACCACATATGAAAGTGACCCAGATCGGATTTGTGCTGTTCAAACTGTCATACCATGATCAGACATGGGTCGCATGGGGTCAGAAAAGTCGAATTTGATGCGGTTTCGCCTGCAGTGTGAACGCAGCCAAAGTCAGACTTCTGTTTACAAAGGATAAACCAACATATAACTGTGATTTCATCAGCAGAAATCATTATAAAAACAATCAAAATAAGATTTAAAAATCTTAAATCCATTTGAAGCAGAGGTCATACTAAAATTCATTTCAATTAGCATTGTTATTAACAATTAATTTATATTAATTATAAATGAATTCTTCAAAACATTCAGCATCATGTTCAGGTTGTGTTTGTGTTCATTACAGAGCGTCCTCCTCCTCCTCCAATCTGGCCCAAAGTTCTCCCAGCGGTCCTGGTTCCAGTGCTTGTCCTGGCTATTGGCATTAGTATTTTCATGTGTCTTGTATATCAAAGGATGAAGAAAACAGCAGGTGGGTGTAGTAGTGTGTGAGTGGGTGGGTGGCCCTTTATAGATCACCATAGTAACAAATGCTGCATACCTGGCCTGCTCCTAAAGGAACGGTGCTTACAGTTTCAGTTTTACATTTGATGTCACCGAGCAAAGTTTCTACAGAAGCCCCAACTTGTTAGGATGCCTGGGTCGTTGACCCAGAGGTTTGAGTTTATTATATTATTTATCATTTCTAGTCTTTGGTTTATTTGTCTGTGTTCTGTCTTATGGTTTACGTCTCAGTTCCCTCTGTTGCAGTGCCTGCGTGTGAGTCTGTGTCTTTAGTTCAGTCTGTGTTGTTTCCTGTTTTATTTTGAAGGTCCATGTCTGATGTTAATGTATCTGGTTTTGCTTCCCCTGTTTCGTTAGGCCTGATTTGCCCCAGCTGTGTTTCCCTCCTGTTACCCATTCCCTGATTGCTCCCTCTGTGTATTTAAGCCCTGTGTTTCAGTTTGTCTGTGTCGTGATCTACCGTTTTCTATGCTGTGTGTTCTGTCTGCTTGCCTGAGTTTATTTGGAGTCTCAGTTTTGTTACCTTTTTGAGTTCAGCATTAAAGCTGTTTTTGAGTTTACATTGTGCCTCCGAGCGTCTGCACTTTGGGTCCACCATTCCTGCCTGCACACAGCCGTTCCATAACACAACTACTACATGTTCTGACTGGATATAAAAAATAAGATAAAATTTTTTCTATTTTCCCCAGAAATACTTTTGGAAAATTATTATTGATAACTTGACAGAGTAAACCTATAACACACCTGTCTCTGTTGGACAGGTGTGTTATAAAAATGTGTGGTATCTGTATCTGTCCTTCGGCAGCAGAGCTGAATCAGCCTGAGCAGCGTTCCTTCTGCCTGTCCAGCAGCAGTGTGTGGTGACACTTATAGGAAGACTGCCAGAAATTATGCTTTCTGCACTTCTTCTTGGCTGCTGAATTGTAAAATATTATTACCTTTATAGTTGTCATGCCATGTCATGGCGCTATATAAATAAAATTGAATTGAATTGAATTGAATCTAATTATTTATTTAATTTTGATTTATTTAAAACCATTTCTTTTGGAAAAGTAACAATAAAACACCATGAAAACACCCCAATACACATAAAATTGTATAAAAAGGACATCAATTATCAAAAGTAAATGTACTATGGCTTAAACTCTGTACATCATGGAAATAAGTGATTCCTAATAGATGTTTTTTTGAAAGATGGAGCCTGCATCTGTTCAACTTACCAGTTTTATTAAACAGTGTTGCTGAGACGGTAACAGAGAAGCGAAAGAGCCAGGTTGCCTCAAACACTTCTCCTCCATCAGGCTCCCCGTAAAGACCCAAAACATGTGTGCAATCAACCAGAAAAGAGCTACTGACCTCTCAGTGTCATTAAATCACATTTCTCTCAACGAAGACCCCCAATGCAGGATTTAAACCTCATGTCAAAAGAACAAAAAGAAAGGTATTGTAACCTTTATTAAAGTCAAATTCAAAGAGCATTGAAATCCAAAAAGCCAAAAGAAGTCCAAAAGAACACAAGGGTAAAAAAAAAA